TACTCAACAATATTTTTCTTTTCTTTGTTTCCGTGCGTGCGTGAATATGTTAGACATTTTTTAGACTCAATTAATTCGTTTTCCTTTGGGAGCATTAACATACACAGAATTAGATTTCTAAGTGCTGGCACAGAGTTACTTTGCCTGTCGTGGTGAGAGTGTGAACGTTATTTTTCGATGGAATCTAGCTAGATTACTTTTCTCTTTTTGGACGACCTTCACCTGTAAGTATTGTAAGCTTCTCGTATTTAGTAACATTACCTTCTGACACTAATTGTAATTTAAGGAATTCACTATATAATAAACCAAAAGGCCATACATCGAACAGGTCAGGTCCTTACATCCAATGTTATGACTTGCTTATTTTTATGCAATGTTTTTACATAACAAGAAATACAAGAAATATCATTTCCCAAAGGATAATGTGTTGCCCATGCTCATGTCCTTCAACATGGCTGCGATAATTGAAACCACTCTATCTTATTACAAATTATACTTTAAGTGACTCTCAATCGATTTCTTATAACTCCCCAAATAATTTCTAGTTCTATAAATAAGATAATTATTGTATTGACTGCGTTTTATTATACAAATTTTTATTTCCTAGTTAAAGCTATTGTTGACAGTCTATTTTTATAGTAAAAATTGGACCCAATGACACTGTAATATAAAATTAGATATAAAATAAAGTGAAGTAATAAGACTGACTCACTAATGCACGTTGTCTAACTAAACTATAAAATTATAATTGTTAATAAATGCACATAGTGTGACTCTATAAGTTTTGTAAATTATTCCTTAAACATGGATCTTAACCACTAAACTATAAAGTTATAAAGTGTTTATAATAATGCATTATTGAATATTGCTGACCTCCATCTAGTATTGTACAGGCTTTGATTCTAGTCATGCAGTGTTGATTGTCTAATGGTACCCTTGTCTTAACATTATTAACACTATTCAATCTGTATACTGGCATGGTCTCTTGTATCATCTGACCTTGATCTAAGTATTGTACAGGCTTTGATTCTAGTCATACAGTGTTGATTGTCTAATGGTACCCTTGTCTTAACATCATTAACACTATTCTATCTGTATACTGGTCTCTTGTATCAGCTGACCTTGATCTAGTCTTGTACAGGCTTTGATTCTAGTGAGTGTTGATTGTCTAATGGTTCCCTGTCTTAACATTATTAACACTATTCTATCTGTATACTAGTCTCTTGTATCAGCTGACGTTGATCTAGTCTTTCATTATAGTCAGTGTTATATAGTTTATTGTCTTAATAATATTATCACTTTTTCGTTCGGTTCTTGTGGTAGTTCATTCTGTGATCCTGAAAAGTAAAACATCAGCAAAATAATTTACAGAAGTGTGATACAGTTGACATGGTTCAGTGCTTCTTTGGAAAAAGAGGGATTGTAGGCACTATAGAGCGTTTTCACGTGACGTCACAGCGGCCATTTTGGTGTACCAGAACAATATATTTCCTATCCTTGGAGAATTCAACTCTATTTTTATGCAAAAACTGTGCAGAAAGTATTGTTTGGCACACCAATATGGCTGCCTTGGCACGTGAGTAAACGCTCTATTAGGGATTGTTCGTTTTGTGGTGATGGGAGTAGGCTTAGGCGTGGTTTTAGGGGTCATAAAACCTACAGCAGCAAAAGGGGTCACAAAACCATCAGGGTCATCAGATGGAGATTAGGGTCTGATTTTTCATTTCTGCTGCATTAGAAACTCTATGGTTTGTCCACACCCCAAGTCCCAAACCCAAAAAGTGAAATCAAACGACGGACAACAATCGTCTAATTATCAATAATATTCATGAATCATACCTTGTGTTAACTCCAAATCATCCCCTTAATACTTGTTTAATCTCTTCTCTCGTCTGATCCCATCCATGAGTGGTTACAGCCTCGTAGACTCCCATCAAAAGATTTGGAAAATATTCAAAGAACACAAACTTTTTCAGCAACAGATCTTGAATTGACTTTGGTAATTCAGTCACATGTGCATAAGCATTTCGTATGAAACGTATTAACTCTACTACAGAGTTCGTTTTGTATGTTCTTCTTTTTGTCATTTCGGTGTAAATGACGGGCATGTATACATAACCTGGGTCATTCCAATCCACATACTTGACTATGGTACCAAAGCTAGCCTCCAAGTCAGTCTCAACTGCAGTCAAACGAAAACTTCTTTTTACACGTGGGAATCCAAATTCCTTTTGGTTGCCAACAGCATTGAGAAGTTCCAGCTTTTTTTTCTTTGACCAGAAAAAAGGGTGATCCAATGCCTTGTCTGCAGATGGTCGTTTATTTTTATCTCCATCAATCATTCCTTTAAGGAGATCAGCTGCTTCAGGGCGCAGAGAGTCGTTCCATCCTTCCATTTTGCCATTCACTATGTTGACTTCAGTCTCGTGTTGTAGTGCCCATATTCTGGGGGCAAATGGATGGGTTTTCATTGACAAAACGTAATGAAGAACGAGACCACAGGCAAACACATCAGATGACTTGGAATGACCTTTTGTAGAAGTTAGCACTTCTGGAGCAATCCAACATCTTGTACCAACATTAGAACCATACACCGAGGTGCTAGAACCAGTATTATCCATACGACGGCTGAGACCAAAGTCGGCAATTTTCAAGCATATTTTAGGATGAGTTTTATAAAGGATGTTTGTTGGCTTGAGATCTCGATGAACGATGCCTTGATCGTGTAGGAATTTCAGTCCTTGAACTATATCTCGGCAGAGTGTGACTTTAATATCCATTTTTATTGTAGTATTAAGGAACTGGTCAAGATTTCCTTCCATCAGTTCTAAGACAATGTAAGAAAAGTGTTCGTCTTCAAAGAAGAACAAATAACGAACAACTTGTTCGCAGTCTGCAAGAGCAGTGAGATTTATTATTTCTCGTTTGTCTTCTGGTCGTTGCATACGTATCTTCTCAATACGTTTGATGGCCACCTCTCTTCCATCTTTTTCGTTGATTCCTGCAAACACAGCACCAAATCCTCCGCGGGCCAAATAGTCTTTGTGGTACCAGTATGGTCTGAAATATGTGCTTTGCCTTCCTCGTGCTACTTTTGCCAGTTTGTCTTTGTGTATCTTTGAAGTAGATTTCCATGATTTAATCAGTAAGGGAACTTTTTCAATATCAATGGGCTTCTGCAAAATATCTTTGAGTTTAGGGCATCCTTCTGCTATGTCCAAACAGGACTGACCAGTTGAATCAAGAATGTTATAGTCTGCTTCGTACAAGAGAAGGTTTTCAGTAATCGTCCAGTGAACATCGTCAACGTCATGCGAATTTCTGACGATATTCCTGCAACAGAAATGGAGTGGCGAATCTTCTCCTCTCTTTCCTAACACCACACACTTTCGTGATCCTAAGATGATTTGAACAAGATTAATTTTCTCATGAGCGCGTGTTGATTTGTCTTTGCATACAGCACACAGAAGAGATAAGATGATATCGTTAGCAGAATCAAGGCTGATATCTTGGCAAGCAAATTCAATCATGCCTTTTGCAAGATCAAAGCATCGTGCTTCAATCAGAATACTCATCACAGATTCACCATGTTTATCAACGGTCCACGGATCAAGACCTTTTTCGAAAACCGCCATTTTCCAAAACTCTTTTGGCTGGTGTAGGACATCTTGGTAAAAATACCCAAGATTTGGGAAAGATTTTGTGTATTTAGCTGCAACAAGAAGAGGCGGACGTCCTGATGAATCCACATCGTTAGGGTTCGCTCCAGCATCCAGCAAAAGTTCAACAGCAGCCCACGTTCTGCAGAGATGTAGAGGTGTTTCCCCATTTTCATTTTTGACATGCAGTAGTTCTTTGGTTTCTCTGAAATGGTCCAAAATCATTTTCAAAAGGCCTCGGAAGGTATATCCTCCACTAATATTACTGGAGTAATTTTGTCTTGGTGCTAATTTGAGCTTTGCCCAAAGATGAAGTGGCGTGTTTCCATTGTTATCTTGGGTATTGATAGAAACTTCTTTTCTTTTGAATGCGTCAACAAATAATTTCAGTAGGTCTACGGCAACCTCAGAAATGTCTTTTCTCAATTCACTATTACGTTTGAAAAAGGCTTTTTGGAGAAGTTTTATGGTTAAGTGTAACACAGTCTCTCCACTCCCAGTTTTTGCTTCAACACTCGATCCATGTTCTACCAGGAAACGACAGACAGCTCCTTGTGTCTGGACAGCTGGCCAAGTTTCTTCCTCTCTGAAGACCTTCTCGATGGTCTTGGATAAACAATATAAAAGTGGCGTTTCGTTTTGGTGATTCCTTATGTGGAACGATGCATTAAACCTCTCGACTAGTTGCTGATATATTTCCATGATAGTTTCTTGTGTTACACCATAAAATGCTAGTTGAGTTGCATGATGAAGACAGGTGTTTCCATCTGAATCTGTGGTGTTTGGGTTGGAAATTGCAATTATTTCCAGGAGCTCTAGGGCCATATCAGAAATGTCTTTTCTTAATTCGCTACTACGTTTGAAAAATCCGTGGTGAAGAAGTTTTATGGTTAACTGCAAGACATTCTCTCCGCTTCTATTTCTTGCTTCAACACTGGATCCATGCTCTACAAGGAACCGACAGACAGCTGCTTGTGTCTTGGCGGCTGGCCAACATTCTTCCTCTTTGGACATCTTCTCGATGGTCTTGGATAAACAATATAAAAGTGGCGTTTCGTTTTGGTGATTCCTTATGTGGAACGATGCATTAAACTTCTCGACTAGTTGTTGACATATTTCCATGACAGTTTCTTGTGTTACACCATGAAATGCTAGTTGAGTTGCATGGTGAAGAGCAGTGTTGCCATCTGAATCTGTGGTGTTAGGGTTGGCACCCAATTTGATAAGACGTCGAGTCACCTCGAGTGCTGATCCGGACTCAATCAGTCGTTTATCGCGGATTTCTTCACGGATCATTGTGGAGATCTCACTTATGGTTTTAATTTTTCCCACAGGAAAATTGACTTTAAAAAGCTTAAAGTTTGACGCATTTTCATTTGCTAAATTCATTAGCTTAGAAAGAAAATATACGTTGATATCACAAGAACCAGGCTTGAAGTACAGCGTTTTACAAAATGCAACACTTGCTATAGCTCCCAAAATAGTGTTTCTTTCCACCTCTTTGCAGTCGGACAGGAGATGGAGTCCATCTTGCAGGTTTGAAGTTCTTTGTGATAAATTGAAGATACAGTTTTCAACAAAAAATGTCAAAACACTGCAATTCTCAGTGAGATGTAAAGTGGCTCCTTTGTCAAGCAAATACCTCGCTAGGGAAAGTGATTGTGTCATAGCGTAGAACAGTGGCGTTCTGCCATAACGATCTCTCACATCCACTTGAGCACCTCCATACTCTATCAGTATGCGTGCCATGAGACAGGCTTCATGACATCTGTTTACGAAAAACAAAGCAGTTTTCCCTTCATTATCAGCAACGTTGACATAAGCTCCTGCATCGTTCAATGCACGAACGACATTTTTATTATAAATTTGTTGAACAGCATAAAACAAAGCCGTTTTCCCCTCATCATTAGTTTTGTTGACATCAGCATCAATCAATTCATGAACCACACTTTCATTGTTGCTTTGTTGAACAGCATAAAACAAAGCCGTTTTCCCCTCATCATTAGTTTTGTTGACATCAGCATCAATCAATGCACGAACCACACTTTTATTGTTATTTTGTTGAACAGCATAAAACAAAGCAGTTTTCCCTTCATTATCAGTTATGTTGACATCAGCACCAGCAGCAATCAATGCACGAACCACACTTTCATTGTTACTTTGTTGAACAGCATAAAACAAAGCAGTTTTCCCCTCATTATCAGTTCTGTTGACATCAGCACCAGCATCAATCAATGTACGAACAACACTTTCATGATAGTAACTTTGTTGAACAGCATAAAACAGAACAGTTTTGCCAWCTTCATTGGTTGAGTTGACATCAGCACCACAATCGCTTAATTTTTGGACAATTTTACCATTTTTTTTCTTTACAGCATAAAACAATGCAGTTCTACCAACTTTATCAGTAGCATTGATGTTAGCACTGCATTCTATTAATTTTTCAACCATTTTTTCACTTTCTCTCTGTACAGCATAAAACAAAGCAGTTTTGCCATCTTTATTTTTTGCGTTGATATCAGCACCGGACTTGATTAATTTTTGGACAATTTTTTCATTTTCTTTCTTTACGGCAAGTAACAAAACAGTGTTGTTATCTTTATCTGTGGTATTGATATCAGCACCAGACTTCATCAATTTTTCAACCATTCTTTCACTTTCTTTCTTTACAGCGGAAAACAAAGCAGTTTGACCATCTTTATTGGTAGTATTAACATCAGCATCACACTGGATTAATTTTACAAACATTTTTTCACTTTCTTTCTTTACAGCACAAAACAAAGCAGTTTTGCCATCTTTATTGGTAGCATTAACATCGGCACCAAACTGGATTAGATTATCGACCATTTTTCCATTCTCATTCCATACAGCATAAAACAAAGCAGTGGTACCAAATTTATCAGTGGCATTGATATCAGCTACACGCTCAATTAGTTTCTCGACCATTTTTTCATTCTTAGTCCATACAGCATAAAAGAAAGCACTGTTGCCATCTTTATCGGTAGCATTGACATCAGCACCACACTGGATTAGCTTTTCGACCATTTTTTCATTTTCTTTCACTACAGCACAAACCAAAGCAGTTGCGCCATCTTTATTAATAGCATTGACATCAGCACCACACTGGATTAGTTTTTCAACCACTTTTTCATTTTGTTGGACTACAGCATAGAACAAAGCAGTTTCGCCATCTTCATCAGCTGCATTGACATCAGCAGCACACTCGATTAATTTTTCCACTATTGTTTCTTTTTCTTTCAGTACAGCATAAAACAAATTAGTTATGCCATATCCCTCAGCTGCATTGACATCATCAGCACACTGGATTAACTTTTCGACCATTTTTTCATTTCCTTTCTCTACAGCATGAAACAAAGCAGTTTTGCCATCTTTATTGGTAGCATTCACATCAGCACCACACTCGATTAGCATCAGCTGCATTGACATCATCAGCACACTGGATTAACTTTTCGACCATTTTTTCATTTCCTTTCTCTACAGCATGAAACAAAGCAGTTTCGCCATATTCATCGACTGCATTAATATCAGCACCAGACTCGATTAATTTTTCCACCATTTTTTCATTCTCTTTCTCTACAGCATAAAACAAAGCGGTTCTGCCATCTTCATCGGTAGCTTTGACATCAGCACCACTCTGGATTAGTTTTTCAACCATTTTTTCATTTTCTTTCTCCACAGCATAAAACAAAGCAGTTTCGCCATCTTCATCGGTTGCATTGACATCAGCACCACACTGGATTAGTTTTTCGACCACTTTTTCACTTTCTTTCTGTACAGCATAAAACAAAACAGTTTCGCCATCTTTATTTTTAGCATTGACATCAGCACCACATTCGAATAGTTTTTCTACCAATTCTTCTTTTCCATTCTCAATAGCGTCAAATAGTGTTTTGTGAAATTCGTCATCACTGCTGTCAGTAATCCCTTCTGCCATTTAGGAGTTTTTAAGAATCAGCGAAGGCAGTGAGAAATTTTTATATTTTGCTCAAATATTGTTGATGTGGAGTGAACGCGGCACATTAGTTTTTAGCAAATATTCTGTTCCTTGTCGATGTTTGTTGCCCGTGATAGTACTTGTATTCACACCTGTGGTCAAACAAAACAACCAGACATTTTCTCTTTAATTATATTCATTTCGCAATCATTGCCATATACTGCAATCTGATTGGTTAAAGATGATGCGATTTAAGCATTAATTGCGCTATTACTTCAATTTGCACTATTTTTCTCAACATCTCAATTGAGCCAATCAGAAAAGAGACTCATAATGTATACTTTCTGACCAATCAGATCATGGAAACTAGGAACCCATTTGAGTGTTGAACTCGGCACCTTTTTGGTGAAAATAACGGGGGGAGAAAGACAACTTGGGAAAGAAGTTGTTAAGAGGACGAGGAGAGGAGAAGGTAATTCAACATCGACCTCTCATCAACCTCACATCGACCCTCAATCATTTTATGCAGCAATTATAAGATTATTATAAAATCCGTTATTAATTTTGGTATTTGTCTTGACGGAAATAAGAATTGTCAATGGGCTTCCTGTGGTTTTTAATAATTTAATCGGATGGGCATGGGCTTCCTGTGTTTTTTCAATAACTAAATCGGATATGGGCTTCCTGTAGATTTGTGCATTATAAAATTGTTTTGATGCCGTGTCTTATTTATCACGTGACAAAAAGTGATTGAAGGAAAAGAGATATGACAGCATTAAATATGATGAATAGATAGATGAATAATTAATGTCGCCATCCTTCCCCGTCCAAAAAAGGGCCCGTGCGGTGTGGCCCATACTACTGGAACTGCTATGTTTTATTTGCTTATTTTACTTCTAGTATGAGGGTCTTTCATTGTACATATTTTTTTTTTTAATCTGACGATTAGATCTTTTGCCATGATGAACGTCCTTAATGAGCCCACTATTTCAAATTTCATTTGTAGCCTAGTAACGCTCACACATGCGCAACAGAAAAGGTGAGGTTGGGGGCAGTGTCCTTTTTCTCACGAAATGGAGACTCTGTCAGAAGGGTAGAACACTGAATACGATCGTAAATAAACAAAGAACTGTAAATGAGCAATCGCTCTTTCAGACAACATTATTAATCGAGCTGCTTCGGCGCCATCTTTCTGAAGTATCATCTTATTATCGTGAGGGATACAGCTTTACTCATTTAGACTCTATTTGTCTAGACTATTACACTTGTGTTACGCTATAAAAACATAAAACAAATACCGTTATTGATTGCTTGGTTGCTTCCTAGCTGTGTGTTTTTTGCTTCGCTGCTTGCCTGCATCCCAACTTGAAAACTTGCTTTCTTTTTTATTTAAAGTAAAGTAGCTTTGACCCGTTTTTTCTAAGTTCACAATTTGCATCCGGTCTGAGACGGTCTTCACTTGTCGTTTTGGAGAAGAGAGCCGTACAATTAATCCTAATGTTTGTTGTTGTGTACTCAAGTCACATCTTGGGAGATGTATGAGCAGTCCCTTTTTGCGTTAATCAATGGAGTTTTAAGATCCTTTCGATGTCTTTTCTACACACATAGGAAAGACAGCTTACCAAAATATTATAAATAGTGGTCTCGTGCGTTTACGAGCACTAACTTAGTGTAGTTGCATCAGATTTTGCAGCACGCCATTCTCCTCGAGAGAAAGTTCTCTATTTGTGTACTTAAATAAACGCCTTGGAAGATTTTTGAGCCTCCATTTCGCGTTTATAATGGAGTTTTCATTACCTTTTCGACGTCGTTTCTACATTGGGACAGACAGTCTTACCAAAGAGCAGTTTTTACGAGCACTATTGTAGTCTAGTTGTATCGGATTTTGCAAAAGGCATTGCATTAATTCCTCAAAGTGAAACTGTGTAGTTGCATAATAGATCTACATGACCGAATTCAGAAAAGAAAATAGATGTCAAAAAGCGTCAACAATCAAAGGCTCCAATTTGAGACATTTGAGCTATGTCAACACGGCAATAGGTGCGTCACGAACTAATTTTAGCAGCTGAGCTATATGTTCTTTTAACTTTTGTTTGTTGCAACATTTACGCTGAATTTTAAAAACTTCGTTAATACCAACAGTGTGAGGAAGACTCGTACAGCTATCAGTCGAGTTATTTCGCAAATATGACTTGTGAATTGTTGAATTGCGTATTCTTTTTTGATCCTCTAATTTTTGTTCTAAACCTTTTTTCTTTAGTTTTACATTAATTCGTAAGTACAGTGTAAGAAAAGCCACACACTCACAATTGTGTTATATATGATTTACTAAACATCATTGGAATGCAGTTAGTGTGTTTGCACAAAGTAAAGCGTTTGAAATATTGCTTTTATATTGAGCGACCTCTGACTCCTAAACGTCTGCAGTTTTTGGAGTTCGAGTTTTCGACGGTGAATTTTTTTAAAAAACCTTTTATAACTTTTTTTACGTTACCCCACCTTTCTAGCTATGTTTAGGTACTGCTATGTACTGCTTGATTTCCATGAACTCGTCCTGCCACTGGATTCCCAATTGCAAAGAAATTAGAGTTGCTTGTAGTGAAAGCAAATAGAACTTTTGCAAATTCGCTTGAGTGACACAAAGCGATGGCTTCAAGTCAAGGTTAGACTTGATAAAATACAGTAAATGTATGAACACATCAGGTCCATCCTTAACTTTGAACCATTGTTTCCTGGTCACTGAAGTGAATTCAAGAAAGGTCTATGGCACTTAATGCTTAAACACTCTTATGTTTTATGCTTGTGCTTAAAACACATTAAGAACATGCGTAATAGGTAAATTACGAGCCTTGTATGAAACGACTGAAGAAGAGTGCCAATGGGTCTTTCACATGCAACTTCAAGTCGCCTTAAAAATGAGCCAGCTAAACTAGAAACCGTGGACAGCTGTTTCGGCCTGTATTGGGCCTCGTCAGCGCGGTGTATCTAGTAAGCTGTATCTAGCGACTTGAAGTTGTAAAAGGCCCATTGGCACTCTCCTTCAGTCGTTTCATACAAGGCTCGTAATTTTTCTATTACGCATGTTCTTATATGATTTCCAAGCCCATTCCACACGGCTTACCGCCTCATCTATCATGTACATGATACACCGTGCTGACAAGGCCCAATACAGACCGAAACAGCATGGATTTCTCGGTGTATCTAGTGAGCTGTTAGATTCCCACTAAACATAAGATTTGATGCGCACTTACGCAATTTTCATTGCAGGTTTCTAGTCAATCTTACTAGATCTTCCATTATTCTAATATTCGCTGATCATTTCTCTCAAAACTACGTCAGGATACGAATTAGAACTTAAACTAATATTACACAAAATTGCAAGACTATCGAACTCATTTAAAGCGATCTAAAGCGAACGAAAAATACAGAAAACATTGATCGCTTCCCAACGATTTGATGCTCTGGGAATTCTATTGTTTGCTATGACCATAACACCAAATTCTCTCGCACCATGCACGGTCTGATCTCGTTTGGCAGCTGCTTTCCGATTTACTCTCGAAGTATGGTAATTTATTAAACAGTTTTCTTATTCAAACGGTGGGACTACTTCGCTTTCCCCTTCTCCCTTTCCCTCCATCATTCCCAGTTATCCTTCCTGCCTCCTCATTCTTTCTTATAGCATTCACTTTCTTGTGGCTGCCTCTCCTTTCTGTTCCCCTTCTTCCTTCCCAAATTGCTTCCCTCATTCCTTTGTTGCCTCACTCCTCCCTTTTTCCTGCATCCCTCTCCCTCCTTCCTGACATCCCTTTTATGTGTGTGTCTCTACCTCCCTCCTTACTTGCCTTTTGCCCCTTTTGCTATCTTGGTTGCCTTTCTTCTTCCCTCTTTCCTTGCCTTCCTTTCCCATCCCCTGCTACACCGTCTTATGCAGTGTACTTTTCTTCCTCTTTTCGTGCATTGCTTCTTCCCTCCTTTCCTGTCTCCCTTTCTCCCCTACTTCATCAACCCTTATCCCCATCTGCGTACATATCTCCCTCCTTACTTGACTTCCTATCTTGTGGTTCCTAATTCCACCGCCTTATTTCTTACATGGCCCACTTTCTCTCTCCTTCCTATCCTGTGTATCTTGTTTTCCCTTTGCCTGCCTTCCTTCCTTCCTATTTCTCTGTCTACTCTTTGCATTCATTCTATCAATTTACCTAAACCTAACTATTTCCTTTCTGCCTCCTTTTTCTTTACATGGCCACCTTCCCTCCCTCCTATCCTGTGTATCTTCTTTTCCCTTTGCCTTAATCCCTTCCTATTTCTTTGTCTACTCTTTGCATTCATTCTATCAATTTACCTAATACCTAACCATTCCTCTGTAATAGACCCAACCATTACGAAACTTACCCAATGAAAAGTACTCCAGTACAACACCAGATAAACAAGACCAGGATGAGAATGAAGGTCCGAGTAAAAAGAAGAAGACAAAGTACTATGATGGTAACGCTAAACAAGTACCCCCGGAATCAAAGAAAACAATGCATGCTGTTCGATCTTGGAGACTGGCTGTCAACATTATAGGTAAGTAAAGCTTGTATGGTTATATATATTTTATGCTAGCTGCTTAAGTTTCGAAAACGAGTGATATGGATGTGGTATAGAGGCTTTGTTCAATCAAGCAATGGCAGTCATGACAGAAGGGAGGAACAATTGATTCTGTTCTAATCTGATTTACATTCGAAAAAATAGGTTTCCCAGGGGGGGGGGGAGAGTCTGTTTTTGTGCCTCCTGTCATGGCTGCATGCCATCACGTGATGGTGCAAAGGCTCGATCTGTAGATGGTATGGGCACGTTTTGCTGGTGCTATGACAATAATAATAATATCACATATTCAAAAATAAAATAAAAAATTTTAATTTTTTAAAAATTTTTAAAATATTTTCAAGGGATTTTTCATAAAGTTTTCAGAATTTAAGACTCGTGATCGTAATTAAGTGTTTTAAATATAACCATTGATATTTGATGAATAATTTACAATACTTTCGAACCAACATTTTTCTAATAAAACTTTTAAAACGTAATCACTACTCGAACGGGATCAATTAATATTTCATATTTATTTATATTATTTTCAAAGGAATCTTTTAAAAAAAACTTCCAGAATGCAATGCTTTTGGTCGTAATTACTTGCCTTAAACGAAACGAATAGGCCCTTTGCAGCTHAGCAATCACGTGCTGATTAATTCACTGAGAGCAAATGAATGAACATTTTGATTCCCATGGGTGAAATTTACTGGACTGCAAACACACTTTCTGACATGTGGCCTGTTTTAATTTGAGAGATCGTAATAAAACTGCATTTCGTTACACACTGGCCATGGATAACATCGTTTCATTCAGTTCTTTACAAGTAGCTAAAATGAATCACCATTTTAATATAAAAACAAAAATTTTGCACACCAGTACAGACACGTGACCGTTAGCTCTAAAAGGCCTATTGATATTTTATAACCGTTTGTGCCCTATAATACGTTACGGCCTTTTTGCTATTTTTATAGAAAAAAAATTTGGCACCTGCTGACATAGAGACTAATTAGAATTTGTTTCTTAAGTTTTCATTATTTTCATWGCGACTTGACGTCCAAAAAATGCGRTCGAGTCAGTCTCTTGAATGGAAAAGTAATGAAATTAAACGACAATTCAGGTTGATGAAAGGCGACACTTGGAGAAGTCAGAGAGGCAGCTGATTAAATATAAGATTGGGTGAAAATCACCGGAGACTTTGCGCAGACAATATTGCAAACTCCCTTGGGTAAATAATCAACGAATCACGAATAAATCGCAAGGAATATAACGTAAAAATAAGGATATCTATTTGTAGATCATGCAGTGTTTTCACTAATGGACGCGATAGATTTATCTTTTCCTGAGCCGGCATCGAAGCTGGGCAATTGATTATGATCTCGCGATTGTTGTGAAACTAGGATTGTTTGGGTTGCTGCGTTTTTGAATTGCTCAAGATTGGAAATCTCTCAGCTGGTAGTTTTCGCATCGTTTTCGTGGATGGATTTAGAGCGAATTCAAACCCGCGCTGTACATTTAGACACCTCAGATTCATTCCGACCGGAAAACTAATTCKAAGTGCTTAAATTTCGTTGAAAAGACCGCAAAARSCCYKSCMARSMARRWT